ACCATGGCAGGGCAGTGTGGGCAATGTTCCGTATCCCATGCTGGAGCAACCAGGGCTGCCTCTCCAGCTGCAGACACCAGCAGGTCCATCCTGCACACCCACTGCAGCCATGTCCAGCCAGCAAACCCCATCAGCTGCTCAACACTGCTCTGCAAAGGTCCCCACTTGCCTTCTCAGTGCGAGTGCTACGAGAGCTCCTGTCCAGGCAAGACACCAGCCTGGGTCCTGCAGGGACCAGGGACTCTGCAGAAGGAGTCTGGTTTCACTGCATGTGGCTGGGTGAAACACAGGGTGTGAACAGACTTGGCCCTGCACTGTATTGCAGAGCCCGGGGAGCTGGGCTGGCTATGCCTGGGTGCAGGCAGGTAAACAGGTAAATACGATCTCAGAGCTGACGTTCCCAGAGGCAGAGCCCTGTGGGAGGCTCAGCCTGGCTCCCCTCGTGCTTGCAGGGTGCTTGTTGGTTTAACCCTGAAGGGTCATTTTTTTTCCCCCTCGGTGATGGTGGAAGGCCAAGGGGTCCTGCTGCAGCACCCAGGCAAAGGAGCAGCACCTGCTGCCACAGGCCAGAAATGGGAGCCCCTGGCATGTGGGGAGAGAGGTCTCTGCCCCCTCAGACATTATTTCTCTGACCTTTTCAAAGTTAAAAAGCTCAGATGTGCACTGAAGCCTTGTCCCATCCCAGTGTGTGTGCACTACAGAGCCACACAAAACCTCAACCTCAGATATTTTACATTATCTTCCAATTCAAGCAGCTTTGATTTTGCTTTTCTGTTCAGCAAAATTAATTCTCTTCTCTGTAATTAATATACTGCTCAAATGGATTTTTAATTACAGATAAATCACAAATCTACTGCACTCAACTGTTATGCTTTTTAAGTAATAAAAGAGATCATTTGTCTTCCTCAGATGAACAGAGACCAACCAGCACACCATTTCCCCCTTTATGAAGAATTCATTTGCCTCAGAAAGAAAGTCTTTAAAAAAACATTGCAAGGATTTTTTTGAATAGGGGATCAAAGCTCCCACACTGCTGGAAACCATTTTTGTTAAATAAGATGTGGGTAAAGGGAAAAAAAAGTAAAAGTTTTTTTGGTAGTGGTTGGGATTACGACACCCTTGGGAGGGACAAGGATGTGGGGTCAAGAAGTTGTGACCAGGTTAGCAACACAGGGAACAGAAGGGAAGGACAAAGGAACAGAAAGTGGAAACGGACAGATGAATGAGGAAGCATGTTTCTTTGCCAAAAGAGAATGGATGCTACATCAATTCATACTGAGAGCTAAAGGATGAGGGCCTGTTAATGGATTGGGGGACACAGCAGGGATCAGAGGTCACGAGTGCACTCAGCCAGGCTAATTGACTGTTATGTGCATATTAGGGATGATAATGCAGTAGGATAGTGGGACATGGGGAGCAGATATGCAAAAGTTCCACTGGCAAGCACTGGCCTGTAATTCCTGTCTTACACCTGCTAAACAAATGTCATCACACACACAAACGATCTTGGCTGCCTTTCCTCAGGAGGGGAGCCCACAGCAACAGGTAAGTGTCCCTGACCTGACTCGCTTTGCAATCTTAGGGGGTTTGTTTCAGTCCTACGTGCTGGATGTAGCCCAATGATCTGACCAGTGCATCACTTCTGGGATGGTTCCACACCGTGGCAGAGGACCCCTGTGGGATGGGGGCTGCTGTGGGATCAGGACCATACCCTGCTATTACCCACCTGCCTGTACCTGCTGCCATCCCTAGGACTGTCCATAAGGATAACAAATGATCAGGAAAACCACACAGCCTGGGCTCTCCCCCACCTCCCCATCCAGCCCTCAGGCATCCTGCCAGCAGCTCCAGGCAGGACACGGCGAGTGCTCACCCTCCTCTGCTAGAACTTCATGCCAGCCCTGGCGTGTCGGAAGCACCGTGTTCTCCAGCACGTACAAGCAGGTGCAGGGGATTAATGTAAAGATCATGAGATGGTCCAATAACTTCTGCACTCACCCTCTGAGTGTGGCTGAGGGGTGTCAATGATCCCTTAGCTGCCTCAGGCATCTGTCTTCTCTTTGCTGTGACAAACATGGAGGGAAGACTACTTGGAAGCAACCACTTTTTCTTTACTCATTTGGATCAATTATAGGGAACAAAACAAGTCAGCCTCTGCCTTGTGAGGTTTCTGCAGTGTGCACCTGAGAGGGTTCTTCCCTGGGAGGCTTTGGGTCACTTTGCTCAGCAGAGCAGGAGCAACACAGAAAAAGAGTGCAGTCAGCTCCAGTCAATCCAGATACAGAATCAGTTTTGGAGACCAGGAGCAGTTCTGAGGTGACATTTGTGGAGCTGAGCTCCAGCTCGGTGAGCACTGCTAATAACATGGGATTGCCCGGGTTCCACCAGGCTGCTGGAGCATTAATCACCAGGTCGTGGCAGAGCAGCTGGTGCTCCAGCACCACACACCCTGACACGGCCCCACCATCCTCTGCTGTCAGTGCTGACTGGGCAATTAGCACCGACTAATTGATAGAGCTGCACCAGGGGAGCAAAACTCAACCCAACACGGTGACAGGAGCGGTTTTTGCTTTGCGCTGACTCAAGTTTCTCCATTTTTGTGTTGCACCAACTTCCCCTTTTCACCCCTGGCACGGGACATGGCCCCTTGCAGCCCAAGTCCTGGCACCTGCCCCTCCAACTGCTCCAGGGCAGATTGACCTTGGATAAGGTGACTTGGCCCTGGGGCCACACGTGCCAGAAGGTGGGAATGAGCTGCCAGGGGCTGCTCCCAGCAGAGGGTCCCTCGCCCCTCCTGGCACCCAGAGCTGCCACCTCCTTACACAAAGGGATTTCCCAGTTGCCTGATGAAGAGAATATTTCCCATTTCCTCACTCTTGAATCTGCTGACAGCATCTCTTGGTGAGTGATGGATGCTGGAGATGATTTATAGATCTTTGTTACACAAATGCCTCCACATTCTTCCCTGTCCTCTCATAGCAACCACTGGTCATTTTTCCCAGTGGAAAAGCAAGAACCTCTGCCCAGGAATGGACAGGGTGTTGAGTCCCTCTCACGTTGGCTTTATTTGCTGTAAATATTCCATCAGCAGTGGCTTGGGGACACCAACAAGGGCAGGGTCAGCGTTCTGGAGCTCTGCACCCACATGGGTCTCTGTGCTGCTGCTTCTGTCCATCTGCTGGGAAGTCAAAAGGTTGGCAAAGAAAAAGGCTGGCTATAAATCAGACAGAGGGGCTGTGGTGGGGGGGGTGTTGATGTGTTTTTTTCAATCTCAAAGTTTGTGATTAAAGTGGTGAACACTACGGGAGGAACAGATATTGCCTCTATCTCTTCAGGCTCTCAGATTTTGGCAACGTAACTGTTTAGCCCTTAAGACTTTTATTAGATAAAATACTTTTGGTAATGCTCTTGTTGCTTAATTGGATTTCTGTTTGTTTTACTTTAAGAACACCAGGAAAAATATCTGTATTGTTTGATCTGATACAGCATACTAGGAGACTGAGCTGTACTATTGGGTCTCACAGTTTATCATAATGAATAAATGCATGAATTAAATAAATTCTGATCTTAATCTATGCAAAGTTTCTGGATCACCCTGACCAGCTGCGTGTTGTTCCTGCAATTGCCTCTAGCATTTATTTTCTTCAGTTGTGAGGCTGGATGGTATCGGTGGAAATCAAGGATTAAACAAATTAACTGGACGTTAATTCCAGTATCACTGGGAGTGCTACCCAGCAGGCTGCAACGCTCCGGGGGTCTTCAAATCGGGAGGATCACGCAGGAATGAGCCCTGGGAGCTTTTCAACAAAACGGGTTTGAATAAAAACCAAGAGAGAACATCCCTCTCCTTCCACAGGGAAAGACAACTTGTTGCTGATCAAAAAGGAAACGGGACATCCACCGACACCGTCCTGCTGCGAGTCCCGGCCGCCCGGCCCCCTCCAGATCCCGCTACTGCAGCCACCCCGCTGGCATGACGCTTCCCGGTGCCGGGCGGCCTCTCCCGGTGCCG